AGCCACAGTCACTTTACCCTGCTCCGCCCCTACGGCACCCCTAAGGCATAATATTGTTGAAAGAACTCATGAATACATAATCGGTGCGAATATTGACTGTCAAAGCGCATTTTCCGTGCGTGTACATGCACTTAGCGTTCGCAAACGACCGACCAAAAGCCTGGGGCCATGCCTTGCGAGGCATTCCGAATCCTATAAACGGGCTGCCTAGGCAAAGAAAGGAGGTAAAAATGGGTGTGCAAGGCGCTTGGTGTTTAATGCGAGGTAAGCGATTCGTCTTCTGCCCAGGTCTGGGTAATCGTCCCCATTTTGCGTGGGAAGCAGACTCTCACGTAACGCCTCTTTGTCCTTGACGGAGAGCGAGCGACCTCCCCCCCCCCCTCTTTGCGAAATGCACAATGAAGTCTTTTTTGAAAAGCCTGTAAGTTGTAGTGCCGACACACACGCACACTGTGTGCAGGCAGACAACGCTTGGATATCGTTTCCATCCAAATAATGTGAAAGTTGAAAAAGCGTGCGTGGACCACCTCCTTCAAGCAGGTGCAAGCCCATTCCTGTAGTAAAGTGACAGGACCAGTTCGCGGAGCATATGTCTGACGTGCGCCATTACAGCTTTAGCGTGACCGAACCTCATATTAAACAAACTTTTCCGTGTACTGGCAGGAAATAGAAGAGGCATTCCCCTTGACTCCTGAGCCGGGCAGCGGGTCTCGCCTCTCTCTCATCAAACTCAAGTGTGATTAGTCCTTGGCACCGTCACCTCTAAAGGCAGACGCCGCAGGACGCAGCACAGAGTAGGAATTTGCGAAACTATTGCCATTCAAATACCCGCTGGCGGGAGACATTGCATGAAGATGGGCGAGAGTAACAGGAGCATAAAGAGGCATAGCGTACGGATGAGGAGTATGCGATCAGCTGGGACAGCCGACGTCACGCACGAGGGAGGCCAGGACCCATTCGAATCAACATTAAGCCCATGCAGGAAGACAAGACGACGCCAAGGCTCTTGCGCCGCCTTTTCACGCGCTTTTCCCCCCAGTGTCGTCCTAGGTGCGGTCCTCCACCTCCTCCTTTCCTCCGGGGCTCGCTCTCTCTCGAGTCCGGAATACCCCTCCTTCCCACCGTCCTCCGGCCCTTTCCCCTCCTCCTCCGCACACGAGTACATTTCTTCTTCCTTCCCTTCCCCGGAGCCGCCCCTTCCCCAGGCTGGCCACCATCCTCCCTACCTCCCCCCCCGTCCCCCCCCCCTTCGCCCTCCCTTCCCCTCCTTCCCCTTCCGGCCCCATTGCGGCTTTCCTACGCACGCTTCCCGAGAAAGACCCAGCCGAAGTGGCCTCTCGCTGTCTGGCGCCTTTGCTGGACACCGTCGTCGATGCGAACGAACGGTTGCAGCAGGCAGGCGCCCAACCTCCTCCTCGCAAAGCTATTTTCCGGCTCCAGCGTCGACCTTCCCTTTCCATCAAGACCTACCTCTCCCGCATTGTCGAGTAGGGAGGAGGGAGTAAGGAAGCAGGGCGGGAGGGCGGGAGGAAAACGCTCAGGTGCTTGCCTGCCGTGGTGTCCTCATACCTCGCCCGCCCCCTCCCTTCCTTCCTCTCTCTCTCTCTCACCAGGATCACTGGGCCTTCCACCCGTTGTCTCATCACGGCCTTAGTTTATCTAGACCGCATCTCCGCCAAGGAATACCCCTCTTCTTTAACAGTGCATCGGTACTTCCCGCTCCCAGGCTTCCTCGCTCATGATCCCCTTGCTCCCACATGTTGCCTCCCCCGACCCGCTCTTCTGCATGCCTTCCCCCCACCTCCTATGCCATTGCATGTCCTCTGCAATTCCTTGCTCATCCCGCTATTGACTTTCCTTGCCTCTTCTTCTTCTTGCCATCCTCCTGCCAGTCTCCTCTTGGCCGCTGTCATGCTAGCTGCGAAGCACACCGGAGACGGCAACAGCTCCTGGTCTTACGACATCTACACAAGGGCCACAGGCGTGCCTGTAGGAGAGCTCAAGGTAAGAAGGCTCCCTGTTTCCCTCTTTCCTCCCTTGCAATCCCTTTTATTGGTGCTCTCGCGCCCTCCCTTTTGGTTTTTTGCAGCCACTTTTGAGTTCCTTTCCCCGGCGGACGGTGTGATGGCGAATAAATAACGATTGCACCCTTTTTTAACCTTTTCTTACTCGTCCGACCTCTCCTCCCTCCATTTTCTTGCTTGCTTGTCTCCACGCACTCAGATTCTCGAAATGGAGATGCTTCGGATGTTGCAGTACGACCTTGTCGTCCCGCCCCATCAATTGTTTGCTTACGGAACGAAAGCCTTGCAGTACAAAAAGCTCCCTGTATTTCGACAAGAGAGTCCCTGAGGCTTCATGTAGTACACACATGATTTCCCTCTCCCGTTTTTTCTGGGAGCAGAAAGAAGAAATCAAAAACTGGCAGTGCAGAAGTGTTCAGAGAACAGGAGTCTAGCTCATGCTCGAGCGTGAGGTGTACGACCTTGCTTTTGATTTAATAAGTGTATACCCCCGCTCATTTACGACTGTACGGCATTCCAGTATTGCGGTAATGTATAGCATTTGCAGACCGTTCCTTATCAAATTGCCCACAAACATGAAATTGGAATATCGAGAAACATCTATCAAGGTACGCCAAGAGTTCGGGACCGCATGAAGAAATTAACCCCAACATTTTTGTTTTTTCATCATGTACTGTGATGACGGGTTAATGTCACACGCTTCATAGAAACTTACTTGCTGTCTGTATGGAACACTACAGGGCTAGCTGTCGTGCTATGTCAAGATCGATTTACCCGTGGCCCCGTACCATAAGTGATGCCACAGAGCAGAAAGCCGATGATCAACCTCAGTACGATCAACATATACACGCGCGACACACACGGAACATGCAACAAGGACAGTGCCACGCCTACTGCCTTCCTTAAAAACCCTCCTCTTCCCCCCGCAAAAAGCTACCCGGACCGTCGGAAAAATTTCAGGCGGCCTTGACCACATATCTATAATTCCAATCCAAGATGCGTTCATACAGGCATTCCCTGCACTTTGCACCAGCGCTTGGAGAAACAATGGCCGCACATCGTGTGCGAAGCCCACCCGCGCGCGTCGTGGTTGTGTGCCAAAGTGGGCGAGACGAGGGTTTTCCCTCTGCCTGTGAGGCTTCTGGTCGCTTTTTTAGCTACGACCTGTCTCGCCAAGTGTCGCTTTTAGTATCATATCTAATCCACTATTCCCCAGGCCCCCACGCCCGGGGACGAAACGGGACGAATGCGGTGTTTGTCCGTCGGGACGTTTGAAGATGTGCATGTTTGTGTCGGGTCATGCGTGGAAATGAAAGGAGGGTGACCACTGAGAATCAATTAGACCGTCAGGCGCCCGTAGGACCGAAAGCCGCCCTGGCAATCCTTTTTAAAATGCCCAGCGGGGGTTTGACATGCACCACATGAAGGGGTCTTTCTCTTGATCTGTTCGCAAATTTGATCATCTACTCGTGACCGGGATGGCGTCCTGGGTGTGAGGCTGAGAAAGCATTTTCTGATTTTGGCTTGAGACGAAGGAAGAAACGGGGGCCGAGATTCTTTTCTCTCCCATTTTCTGTGCTTTTGGGACCTGGCATAATGGAGGCTGGAATCCTCTTAGACCTCAGGTCTACATCGGCAATGTTCGTGTGCGAGTATACATGCTCTTTACGACGTTCAGTCAGCTCTCTGGACTTCGTGGGGAGGGAAAAAGGCGCACCCATTTGCGTCTTCGCCCTTGTTCCTCGTCTGGGGGATATCATCCTACCTCATGGCATATCCATTTTACCAGTACCTCATGCTTTTTCATCAACATCGCTCCCGGATTGTATTCACAGGAGACTGACTAACTAGTCCATTGACGAGATAAGCAAGGACAGTGACGGTATTGGCCTCATCCTGTCTCTTCGAGCTGTCCCAATCTGGCTTTCGCCCAACTTCCCGCTACATTACAAGTCGACCACACCAATCCGCGCACTTTTTAAATTTCTGATGGCCACAAGCACGAGCTGTGCTTGTTACATCACCTGACAGCCTCGCACGTCAGCATTAAACCCAAAAGCGCGACGTTGAACGTCCCCATTTTCTTGGGTCTCCATCTGCCTTGCTTGTCCCGCGGGAATTGAGGTTTCGAGAGGGGAAAAAGAACGAAAAAGAAGCAGCAGCAGCCCCGGCAGCAGCAGCACCAGCCTGAGCGCCCGTACGGCAGCTGAGACGTCGGTTCCGAAGGCCTGACAACGGGGCCCACAAGAGAAAAGGATCCGATCGCGATTATGGAGGCATTGGCAGGGTCCGACCCGTTGCCGCAGGGAGCGGGAGGGAGGGAAGGAGGGCCCAGAGGAGAGGAGGGAGGCGCGTCGTCCCACCTCCCACCGTCGCACCCTTCCCTGCTACTCTCACATCCGGATCCCCTCCCTTCCTCCCACCCCGACCTCCTCCTGCCCGGCGGCTCCCAGCCTCCCCTTCCTCCCGCCTTCCCCTCCTTTAACGGTGCTCCCCCGCCTCCTTTTCCTCCCCCTCCGCCCCACCTCCTGGGCCTCCCTCCCCCCCTCCCTCCTCCCCCTGTCAATGCGGCCGGGAAGAGTCGGCGGAGGAGCAACAGCAACGGGGGAAGCCACCAGCTGTCTCCCTACGTCCCCGACTTTTCCCCGCATCCGCCCCAACCGCAGCCCTCGCAGCTACCTTCCCTCCCTTCGCATCCCCCCACCTCGGAACCCCAGACCGGCAGCAGCAGTCATGGGAGCAAGCGAGGGGTGCCCACGCTCGGACAAATGGCGGCCCAAGTCCAACACATTGCGCGAAAGAAAGCCCGGCAGTTGGGATACCCGGATGAGGACGGTCCTGCCCTGGTTCAGGCCTGGGAGGGCCATTCCCCTCCCTCCCTCGGTCCTTCCCCCCCGCCCTCCCTCGGGTCCTCCCTCGCCCCTGTCTGTGCCCCGGGCGCCGAGCACACCGGACGTTGGTCCCGGCTGGAGCACGATCGATTCGTGGACGGTCTGAAGAAATGGGGCAAAGAATGGAAACGGGTGGCCGGGGAGGTGGGGACGCGGACCGTGGTGCAAACTCGGACGCATGCCCAGAAGTACTTCCAAAAGCTGCAGAAGCACATGGCGAACGGGGCGAGTCTGGAGGACGCGGTGGAAGCGACCAAGGAAGACAGTGACTACGAAGACGAAGGAGGAGGAAGCAGGGGAGAAGGAGGCGGGTGTGGCCCCGGAGAGCAGGGAGGGGGAGGGAGCGGGGCGAGCGGGGGAGGAGGCAGGAGGGGAGGTGGGAACAATGGGAGCGGGCGGAAGCGAAGCAATTCCACGGCAAGTGGAGGCGGGGGGGGAGGACGGGGAGGCCCTCGGGGCCGGGCAGGGAGCACGGGGGGAGGGAAGGGAGGAGGAGGGGAAGGGTCCGGCAGCGAGGAATGGGTGAGCGGTACCAAGCAACGTTCGCTCTCCCTCTCCTCCGCCCTCCCGCCCGCGTCCTCTCAGGGGAAAGGACGATCCAACCCGATCCGATCTTCTCGCTCCCCTCCACCCCCGTCGGCGGCCACCTGCCTTCCACACTCATCACGGGGGGTGGGGGAGGAGGAAGGGGAGGGAGGTACGGGGAGGGCGGGGTCGAGGAGGAAGAAGGGGGGGGAGGGAGGGAGGCGAGGGGGGGCAATGGAGGCAGGAGAAGCGCGTCAAGGGTCTGGAGGGGGAGGGCGAGGAGGAAGGGGAGGAGGACGGGGAGGGAGAGGAAGAAGAGGAGGAGGAGGAAGGCTGGATGAGTGACGCACGGGCTGCCGAAACCATGTTTGGCATCACCTTAAAAGGCCGCCCCCCCCCCAGCCGCCAGCCCGTGGGGGAGGGAGGGAGGGCGGGCGAGGGGGAGGTGGAGGGGGAAGGAGGGAGGGAGGGAGGGTCGTCGAGGGGGGGCGAGGACGCCACGCAGGAAATTCTTCCCCCTGGCCCATGCGGAGCTTCCCCCGGGTCCACAGTCTCGGGAGGGGAGGGAGGGAGGGGAGGGCCGCTTTCGATCCGGATCCCGGGTCAGGGAGGGCGGGAGGGAGGGCGGGAGGGAGGAGGGGTCCCCGAGGCGACGGGACCACTCCCCTACCTTCCTCCCCTATCAATAGGGTCGTCTGCATCCCTCCCCCTCTGCCCTTCCCCGGCGGCCTGTGGGAAGAGGAAATACGCGGAGCTCGCGGCGGCCGAAGCCCTCTCCGTCTGGGTGGGCGACACCCAATCCTCCCTCTCTTCCTCCGCCCCGTCCTCCAGCCCGCCCTCCCTCCCTGCCTCCTCCCCGCCTTCCTTCTCCCCCTGGCACCCGAGTCCAGCCGCCGTGGTCGCGGCGGCGGCGGCAGCGGCGGCCGTTGTCAGGGGAGGGCGGGAGGGCGGGGCCGGGGGAGGTAGGGGGGAGGAAGGGTCGACCCTGCCTTCCGCGGAGGAGGGGGGGAAGGGAGGGAGGGAAGGAGGGAAGGAGGGAGGAGAAAGGAGCGTGAAGGAGGAGATGAGAGGCGGGAATGAGGCGGGCGGGTGATGGAGACGGAAGGAAGGAGGGAGGTGCGGCGGGCGGGGGCCCAGCAAGACCAAGGGACGATGACGGAAGGGGAGGGAGGGGAGGAAGGGAGGGAGGGCGGGGGGGGAGGGAGGGG